TCGCTGTGTAATTCTTGGACTACTGATTGAAGAACGTTGAATACAACTTGATGGACGCGAATCATTGGTTCTACTTTATCCGCAGACGTAAGAACGAGTGACGACTTCATTATCTTTCTTGCCAATAATTTTTTATCGACTTCGTTAGGCATGCATTTCATCACATAACTTACAACATCATCTAGCGATATGAACTCCGGAGCCAAAGCAGCCAAGAATTCAAAAGCATGGAGCATTACTGGACTTTTCTCTATGACATTTTGGACTGCCATCTTTACAGCTGTTGTCATTGAAGTTTTATATGAGCTGTTGATTTCTTCATACATTGTTTCAGTTGGCTCAATATTGCCTGCTTGGATATGGTGAAGGTATTTTTCCCATGTCATGGTAGGATCTGCAATGCGGACTTCCTGGACGTAAACTGCTGCACATGCGAGAGCTAAAGGCTGGAAATCTAGCTGCTTAGCAACGGCATTCATAGTTTCTTCTTTGTCAGAACATCCAGAAATTTCAAGCAGTGATTCCACTGCGTCCTTAGGTTCCATACCAAGGCTTAAGGGCATATGATATGCATGTGGATCACGCAGTGGTATGGACGGGCTGTCTTGCGTTGTTATTAGGATATGGCCTTTACTGTGTTGCAGATTTTCGCCTGCATGAGGGAGAAACCTTGAGACTAGCCGAAGATCTTCCACATTGTCTACAATCATCAGCCAGGAGGAGTAACTGTGCAGTTGTATGGAGACATTTCCTCGTAGTTGAGCGAGTTTGTGTTCTTGAGAGGTGATGGTATTGAGTGATGATATGGATTCTTCGCTGCATCGAAGGTTTCTTGCCAGGTCGATATATGATAGAGTTAAGCTTTCAAGATTAGATGCGTTCAGCGTCGATACGCACTTGGCTGATTCGTCAACGTCTTCAAAATATTTCTTTCCAATCTGCCTCGCAATCTCTCTTTTCCCACAACCAGGATTACCAGACAAATACGTAACGGTGATTTCATGGGGAAACATTGCTTTAAGTTGCTGTATGTTGGACATTATCTCTGTTACTTCACTGGTACGGTTGATAGTTGGATGAGATGGTTTCTGAGGCAGAATGCAAAACTGTGGCAGACTTYCATCTGTTAAAATAAATTAAAGTAATCGTATCATATTTGTCCTTTCAAGTCGTCTTTTAAAGAAGCTCGAAACTTGAGTAGCTTGTGGTTTTCACTGTCGCGGAAGTTTTGAATGGATGTATTTTTTTGAAACGCGATTGTCACAGCGATAAATAGCGAACAATCCTTGATCGCCGCAAGGGAGCACGGCAAAATGCTGTTTATTACATTTTTTTCATCCGTTAACACGATCGATTCGTTCGCTATAGAATAACAGCCATTTTGTTTTGTAATATGGTTTTCCGCTGACCCTTAGGAATGCTGGCGAGATTCGGGGCTCGGTACTTCTCGCCCCTTCGGGGCTCGTTCGCAAATCGGCTCGCCCCTTCGGAGCTCGCCAGCATTCTTAAAGGTCAGCGGAAAACCATTTTTAAAAAACAAAATGAACGAATCGATCAAATAAACGGATTAAAAAAGGTAATAAACAAAATTTTGACGTGCTCCCTTGATCGCCGCTACAATCGCAGAGCTTTTTAAAAGTACGAATTGAGTGGCAACAGCAAGTGGCGCAACAATCGCGATGTAAAAATTGTTGTAGGACTTACTTTCAGACGGTAATTGCATTGATAACTTATTTAGCTTTTGTATGATGATTTCCATTTTCTTTTCTTCGCCTTCTTCCCACGATTGGAGAAGAATACTTAGGTAGGTTTCATTTTCTGAGTCAATTGACTCGATTTTCAGACGCTGGATTTCTGGTTCATACTGCGATCCTCCAAGTCTTATCATTGCTGCCTCAATTTCAGCCCAGTGGGTTTCAAAATCAGCATCAGAGAATTCTGCCGCTGTGCTGTGACCAGTGATTTCATTTCGGCATCGTTTTACTCGAATCAGATCAGCCACTGTACTTTTATTAGTTGGTAGTGGGGCAGCATCCCAGCCTGTAGTAGGTGGAGTCAGACCACAGGTATTCCGTAGTAGAAGGAAGAGCAGTGTTATATCGAAGGCAGCGGACGATGGCACTCCTGGTGCCGGTGGGTATAGCTTGCTCCATTGTTGTGTGTTCAGAACTCTCTTAGCTCTGAGTTTTTTCAGTGTAGAGTTTACAGCGGCCGAGTTGATATGTTTCTGTAGACTAGCAGGTGGGTGGTGCGAATCAAGAACTCCCCTCAACACTCTTGTTCCAATGTCGGTTAAAAGTCTGCCAATACGAGTGTAATTGCTTCTTTGCTTTGATGTCGATGCT